AAAAGCCCTTAAACGCATTTATTGAGCCTAATATCTGACCAATGCCTCGACAATCATCCACGGACATAGAGAGAGAGAGAGAGAAACGGGGGGAGAGAGAGAGAGAGAGAGAGAGAAAGAGAGAGAATGAGGCCAACAAATGACTTTTTCTGATCAATTTCCCCTAAAAGTAACAGGAAAAAAGCCCTTAAACGCATTTATTGAGCCTAATATCTGACCAATGCCTGGACAATCATCCACGGACAGAGAGAGAGAAAGAGAGAGAGAGAGAGAGACAGAGAGAGCCCGGGGAACAATGAGCTCGCGACTCCCGCAGGCCGCGTGAACTCTGCGTGGTCCCCCTGCATGCGCGAGCCCCTGCCTGGCCCTGTCCAGCGCGAGGACTAATGAAACGGTGAACCAGCGGTCAACGATTCCGGGCTGACCCTGCGGCGACCCGCGGGGCAGCTAGGCTACCCTCCCGGAGAAGAATGCCCTTTGAGAGAAAAAAAAAAAGCCAAACCCCACTCCGCTGTTGTTGTTGTCTCTAAAAAAAAAAAAAGAATCCACCAAAGTTCAGAGCTGGGGAGATCCATTCAGGGGCGCGCGCTAATGACCCCTGTTTCAAGCACCCCCCCAACCCCCCTCCTCCTCCTTTTTTTTTTTTTTTTTTAAAGCACCAGAATCTATGCTGGAATGATGGTGAAAAATGAAAGTTTTCGGTCAAAGTCCTTTTTTTTTTTTTTGTTTTGAACTCAAAAAGCCCGGATTGATGGGCGCGAGGCTGAAAAGCCCCGGGATCATTTGTACATCTGCAGAAAAGGTGCCGTTCCATTACTCAGACCTGCAGATCTATTTGTATTGTTCGGCTTTAAAACTGCTTTTGTGATTCCAGCTCTCCCACCGTTTAATGTGAAACCAATCAGGCCTTACACAATGTTTGCCTGTTCTTCTCACTCTTGTGCAGCGCAGATCTCTCTTTTTTTGCTTAGGAGCAACAAATGGTTCTGATAGACTTTTCACCAGCTGCTCACTCACACAGACATGGGAATTTAGCGGGATACATAAACAGCAAAAGAAGAAAAAAGAAAAAACGGAAAATTCCCCCAGGCGAGAAATTCAAATCTAAACTTCCAATGGGATTTTGAACAAAAAAACCTCCAAAAACTGTAATTTTACACATGCAAAACTATGCAGATGTCTGCCATATTCCCCACATCCCGTTTTCTGTGTGTGCGTAAAGATGTGAGAGCTGCAGGATCCAGATACGCAGGCACCGTTTACGCGTCCCTTTATCCTCACAATTGATTGTTTTCTATATCGGCTGCTCAAGCAAAAACATTCAGCGTGACAACACCAACTAACTCGTCATTAAATTCATTCCGGACGGCCTTGATTAAGGCGCGCGGGGCTCACGCTGACAGCTGATGGCAGATGTGGAATTGTAAACATTTATAGGGGGGCTGTGAACCATCATAAAGCGCTGGGCCCGAAATGAGAAGCTGGATTTCAGCCTTAGGGCCAAATTCTTTGGAGCACCGAGATCCTTGTTTCAGTCCCATCTGAGACCCAAACGGGCCTTTTCAAAACGCCTCTGTACTGGGAAAACGACTCCTTAAAAGTGTCTGGAGCAGGATTTACCATGTTCAAATATGTTCATGGTTGTTAACACGTGTTTAAAACCAAAATGAGGACATCAGAGGCAGACCCTGCTTTCCCCCCCGTGCTAAAATGAGCAATTTGTGACTCTCGGAGAGAAATATGCGCAAATCCACCAACCAGGTAAACGCCAACAGGCAGGAAACCCTCACAAGAAACCAGACTTCTGACACTTTGGTCGCGTAATTATGAAACATGGCTCATCCGTGTCATCCCATGTGAGTCCTTCCCCAGCTGTGCTGCAAAAAAACTTGCCATCCAGTGTCTTCTGGATGGCGTTCTTTGCGCACAGAGCCGTAATTACGCACATGCATCATAATTAATGTGCTATGTCCTGTAAATGAGTTTTTTTTATGTCAGACTCTGCGCCGCTGCGCCAGGTAATAGTTTCCATGCATTACAATGACATCCAACAACAGGGGCCCGTAAAAGACTGAGGACTGGGACGAGCACCGTGATTATTTCTGGGCGCAGCGTCTGTCAATATCACGTGTTTCGGGAAAAGAAGAAAGAAAACTCGAAGACAAACGTATGTGTAAATCTCTGTCAAGAGCCAGAAAAAAAAGAAGCCATCATCGTTGGAGCGTGGAGGGAAGCTTCGCCTATATATACCCTGTAGAACCGAATGTGTGTGGAGCTGCCTCGGTCACAGATTGGGTTCTAGGGGAGTCTATGGGCGATGACTAGCCATCCGTCAACTCATCCGCGGCGGGGAACGGGAAACGGATGGCCGTTTGCTGCCTTAGATCTAAAGAAATATTTGCCAGACAGTTGTGCGGATCAAATGTTGCTGGTAGAGTGGAGCTGCTTCTGTTCTGCTGTATTCCTTGAAGCTGCTTGCTGCTCCTATCAGCTTTTACAGAGTCAAATATGACGTGCCAATAGGTCTTTATCATTAAAACCTGTCCAGTTGAGTCCTATTGAGAAAACCTGAGCTATCACTTTTGATCTGAGTGCAGGGTGAGCGTTTAAACTTGGTTAAAACAACAAGAAAAGAGCCACAATGACTGTTTTAAAAGCAAAAAGTTATGGATGTAACATTCAAAAGATGCATTTTGGCTTCAATCCTAGTAGGTTATATTATAATTAAGTATATTTCCTAATAAAATATGGAGTAAAAACACCCCAAACTGATTTTTGTGATTATTCATGTACATGTATTTCAGACCTACAACTTTGAAACTTTTCATTCAAACGGACACAAATGGAGGTTTATACAGTTTATAACTTATCAACCAATCATTGGGAGCTAGTTTAGAAAATGGCCCATTAGATCAGATAGATAGCCTGCCTGGTTTTTCTACCCCAAAAGTGTTCTAAAACCTTCAAACCAATTATAACCTCCATGAGGTCCTTTCATCCCACAGCCAAGCAAAAGCCAGCTCTTCCTCTTCTAGTTACGCGGCAGAAGTAATGGCACATCGCGGGAGTTATTAAGAGCTTTTGGCCGAGCATCAGTCCCGCTGCCTGTTTAGAGAGCAGCTGCAGCCCGAAAAATAAATCCCCATAAAATCCTGAAGGATATTACCTGGATTTATGGTCGCTTCCCCCAGTGAAAAGATGATTATTTTTTTTCTAAGTCCGTGTGGTTTGGGGTTTACAACAGAGAAGAGCTTTATTTCTGCTACATGCAGAAATGCGCATCCTCCATGCGTTTTTATGAGTTTTTCCTCCTGTCACTTTCACATATTTACGTTTTTCACTCATTTTTCGATTATTTTTTTCATCCAGTATAATTCGGCTTAATTCATTTAGCTTTTTTGTTAAATCGCAATTACTCCGGATCAGCAAGCTTTTGCATCATTTTTCCAACTGAAGCGAAGCATCACCCCCCCTCCTCCTCCTTTAAAAAGCCATGCTGGTGGTGCAGAGCAGGACACCTCAGCCTGACCCTAGCCCTAACAAAGCCCAACTACCACTCACTGTCTGGGAGCCTTTTATCCCCATTCTTTCGTTTGAGGCCTTTTTCTGGACGGCCTCGTTTTGTTGTCCGTCCTTTGACTGGCCACAAGGCCAAATATGGCCCCGCGGTTTCTCAATATGGACCAGATTAATTTTTCAGCTCCGGGCCATCTGGGGGTAAAAAGTCAATCAGCTGAAAGTCATAAATCTGTAGTCCCAACATCTTCAATAGGTGATGTGCGTGGGAGGGGGTTGGGGAAGATAGATGGATGGAGAGATAGATGGATAGAGAGATAGATGGATAGAGAGATAGATGCATAGAGAGATGTATAGGTAGATAGATAGAAGATAGATGTATAGATAGATGTATAAATAGATGGATGTATAGATGGATGTATGTATAGATGTATAGATGTATAGATAGATTTATAGATAGATAGATAGATAGATAGATAGATAGATAGATAGATAGATA